CTGACTCTTCTTTTACTTTGCAGAATGCAGATGTTTTCTAAAGGTTTCTGTTTCATCTGTATTTTCTTTCTTTTTCCTTTTTGCCAGTCTGGGGCCTTGAACTCAGGGCCTGAACACTGTCCCTGACCTTCTTTTGCTCAAGGCTAGCACACTACCACTTGAGCCACGGTGCCACTCCCAGCTTTTCTGTTTATGTGGTACTGAGAAATAGAACCCAGGGCTTCATGAATGCTAGACAAGCACTCTACCACTAAGCCACATTCCCAGCCCAGCATATCTGTTTTCTTATTGGTTCCTATCAGCCTTACCTCCATTGGAGAGGAATCTTCCTAAAGTAAATATAACTACATCTATATGTTTAGACTTCATTGGTCAGTCAGTGGTTTTCAAACTTTGGTTCTCAACCTTGGGATTCCATGGCAGGGACACTGTGGCACCATGAAATAGGACAGAGCACAGGCAAGAGGTGTAAGAACAGGCATGCATCCTTCCTACCAACTCCTGCCTCCTATTTCCCTCCTGTGTACCAAGCACAGCAATTTAGTCTATTTTCCATTCTTATCTTGCTGTCATAGAATGGTTGAGGTCCAAGGTCTATGGAAAACATAAGTATTCTGTGAACTATCTCGCCTCCTATCAGAGCCATGTCTCCAAGCAGTTCACTGCCTATGAGTGGTGCTGCCTCTCACTGCAAGTAAACTCTTTTCCCTGCCTCCAATTCTGCTCTCTTCTCTGTCCTAGTTAACTTTCCCATTGACTGATTTGCTTGGCCAATTTCTTTTTTTTTAATATATATTTTTTATTGTAAAGATACTATATAGAGGGGTTACAGTCTACATGAGTAAGGTAATGAGTACATTTCCTATCGAGCATTGTTACCCCCTCCTTTGTTTCTCTCCTACCATCCCCTACCTCTCTAACTCCTCCCTCCCCCCCTAAGTTGTAAAGTTCGTTTTTAACATAGTGTCTTGTACATCTCATTGTTAGAATGGGTCAACCTGTATCCTTATTTCAGCATTTTGTTTTGTCCCTTCCCCTCCCCAAATTAGAAAAATGTATATGCAAGATGCAGGGCACTGGAATCAAATTCAGTGAAAGCAGGGGGTTATACCATGGAAGAACAACATACAAAAGAAACAAAAAAAATCACATAGTACTTTATAAGTACATTAAAAACAACAGCAACAAAGATAAAACCTCTTGTGTCCCTATCTTGGGGTTCATTTCACTTTTGCTTGGCCAATTTCTGTGGTTGACAACCCTCACCTACACCCCCAGGGCATCCCCTTGTTCACTCCAGCCTAGTGAGGTAGATCCTTCCAGAAAGCAAAGGCATTCCAGAAACCAAAACAATGACTGCTGCTTTGACTTGCTGTTGCATCGCCTTTTCCATAGGCTAACAGTGACTTAACAAGATGAAATGTCAACCTGAGCTTAGTCTGTAAGGCCTTCTTTAATCTGGCCCCTACCTGTCTTGCCAGCTTCATCTCTTTCCCTCCTGAACTTTCTCTATTCCATGAAGTCTTTCTGTAGACTTTGTATAGACTTTCACCTTTCTAAATCACTCTCCCCACACATACCCCCACATCCCCACATCTCCACCCCGCTTTGCTTTTCTAATTAGCAACCCCCTAACCTTCAAGGTCACAGTCAAGCCAGATTTCCTTTGTGGAATGTATTGACCCTTCCTCTGTCCCTCTACAGTACTCGCTTCAAACACCAGAATTCTGATTTCAGCATTGCAGACATTGTTTTTTCTTAGCCTGTCAGATTTGTGCTCCTTGGGGGCAAGCAACCATGTCCCTCTCATCGTTTTCCATTAGCTTCTCAACTCTGAATAGAATAAAGCCCAGGGCTTTTGATGTGCCATGAGCGGCCCTTTGCAGTCTGTCTTCAAACTGTCTACATTCTGGTCTCATCTCCTGCTGCCATCTGTGCACCCTCAACTGCAGTCATTTGTACCAGCTTGTGATCTTCTCAGCATGTCCCAGTTTGTACTGACCACACATGTTCTATTTACATGCTATTTCTCTTGTAAAATGCTGCCTCTTGGTAGAGACTTACTCTTTCTCTTTTTCTTTTTGTATGATGCTGGGGTTTGAACTCAGGGCATTGCACTTGCTAGGCTAGCACTATACCATTTGAGCCATGCCCCCCAGCCCTGGTTTTGCTGGCTTTTTTGGAGATGGAGTCTCAAGAACTTTTCTATCTTGGCTGGCCTTGAAATGCAATCCTCCAGATCTCAGCCTTCTGAGTAGCTAGGATTATGGACATGAAGCCACTGCCATCCTGCTAGGAACTTTGTTTTCTTCAGAATAGCATGTAGTTTGTATCATATTTTTAAGATATGTGTAATTTTCAGACATTTCTAATGTAGAGTAGTATAGCAATCCCCTCTATTAAATAGAATAATATAGCAGTCTCCTGTGTTTTGATCCACTGTTACCAAAAGAGCATTTTATGGTAAGAAGGGGGAGAGAGTGAGACAGACCGAGATCACTAAATCCCTTATTTCTTCCTCCCTGATTCGGCTCTCTTCCCTACTTCCTCAGAGAACAGTGACTGTCTTAAATGTAGGGTTATGAATTCATATATTTCATATCATTACTTATTCTTTGTGGTATTAAGGATTGAACACAGGGCCTTACACATACTAGACAAGCACTCCACCACTTGAGCCACCCCAGCACTTTTTGTATTTTGTTCCCAAAATAGGTCTCACCCAACTTTTCCTGGACTGATCCACCTGCCTCTGCCTCAAAAATAGCTGGGATTATGTGTCACCACACCTAGTTCAGCTGTTTTATTCATAAGATAACAGCATTATATAAATATTAGCACCATGTTCATATTCTATAAGAATCGATTTTTTTACTCAACATTATTTTTGAAATTTATCCATCTAGTACATGTAGCTTTTAGATCATTTTGAATTGCTGTGTGGTATTTCGTGGTCTGAATATTCCATGGTTTTGATTGTTTTCAGTTTTTTCATTGGTAATCCAATTTGCAACGAACATTCTTGTCTTCAGAGAGAAACCTTTCCCTGATTTTAAAAATTATTGTGGTAGATATATCTCAGCTGAGTGAATAGTAAGTACTGTTGGTGATCACCTTCCCTTATTCTTATCAGCAGACTTAGGCTTTACATATAAACACCACGTGTCTTTATTGCTTAGTCTTACAGCACCAAGGCAGAGTGGATACTTTGAATGCAGAGCTTCAGGCATGAGTTCATTTTCTCATTCAGCAATTTGCAAGTCATGTCTTATATAAACTTAGGTCATTTCTCCTTAAAATGCCAAATGAAAGGCAAAATTAGAATGCTGAAAAAAGCCCACAAACTCTGAAAGCACTTGCTATACATCTGAGGCAAAAGTCTATTAAATTGTATGAGAATAACAACTTGGAATAAGTGTAAATTCTGCTTCTCATTTATGATGGAGAGTTGGAAGTGGCCTGGAATTATCTGTTGCTACAGACTTAAAGATAGCTAGGACCTGTTGTAATGTTTCAACATTTTGTTCCACTTAATTTTTGAAATTTTCCATCAGGTTCAACTGAAATACTATATATTTGAATTCAGGCTCACTTCCTTGTTTGATCTCTTACTAACAAAGAAAACAGATTGCAAGAACTCTTTTTTAAAGTAAACAAAGTAGTTAAAAAAAAAAAGGTCAAGTGGATTTTGCTCTGGTTTCTAGAGCTTGCTCAGTAATTTTCTTACATTAATGGTGAAAGTTACCATAGATTCTATTGCTCAGTGGAGGTATAAAATAGAGGAGGAGAGAAGGGAAGGATGAGAATGAACTCAAGTTTTGCTTACAAAGAAAGCAGCCCAAGGTTTTACTTTTGTGTAAACTTAAGTTTCACAACTTTGTTTCTCTCTACTTTCCCTTGCCTCTTTTCTTCTTACTAACAACAAGATCTCTTTTTTTTACACACTTTTATTGTCCCTTTTTAGTGGCATCCAGTTTATGTCTCCTAGTCCTTCCTATGCTACAATTGATTGCCAAACATCATTTAGCCTCAATTTTCATTTATCCTGAAACTGTACTATAATTAGAATGATTTTGCTTTCTTCTTTATGCATTTCAATGTGAACATGCCTTATACGTAGTCCCAGTATTAGTTTCCTTTGTGTCTCCTGCAAAATATTTTGCATATTTTAAAATACATGTCCTGAATGCAATTGAGTTACTCTTTTACTTAATCCTAGTACTTAGAGAAATTTATTAGTAATTTCACTTGGTTATGCTAAAAATTATGTTCAAGAGTGTTCACTGTAGTGCTGTTTATAATATATAAATAACTGGGCACCAGTATCTCATGCTTACAATCCTAGCTACTTAAGACACTGAGATCTGAGGGTTGCAGTTCAAAGCTAGCCCCAAAAGGAAAATTTGTGAGACTCTAATCTCTAATAAACTACCCCCCCCCCAAAAAAAAAAGCCAGAATTGGTGCTGTGGCTCAAGTGGTAGAACGCTAGCCTTGAGCACAAAGAGGCGGACAGCATCCAGGCACTGAGTTCAGGGACCACACCACCACCAACAACAAAAATACTGTGGGTTGAGTGTTGATGTTTTATTCCTACAATTCTAGCTACACAGGAGGCTGAGGATCAAGGTTCAAAGCCAGTCTAGACAGAAAAGTTTGTTAGAACTCTTATTCCCAATTAGCTAGCAAAATGCCATAAGTGGAGGTATGGTTCAAATGTTATGGTACCACTATTGAACAATACAGCCAAGTGAGACTGCAAGGCCCTCAATTCAACCCAATATCAACACAAAAATAAATAGATATTTAAACAATTTTAAAGACTGTGGGTCCTACCTCAAATTTATATGGAAAGTACATGAAATCAGGATTGCCTTTATTTTTAACTGCAAGAGAAATTCTTTATTCATTAGATACAGTGGAGCCCTAATTCTTGCATTATACCTAGAAAAAGAATCACTTAGTTCTCTTAATATAATTGTATTTCTCTTTTTTGCAGTTTGTTTTCTTTGCTATCTAAAAAACACAACAAAGTTCTGGAACAAGCCACCCAGTCCTTGAGAGGTTCCTTAAGTTCAAATGATGTTCCTCTACCAGATTATGTAAGTATTTACCTTATCTTATCTATAAGAAGGTTTTCTTTCATTGTAAAATTTATAAATAGCAATTTCTCTCTCTTCTGAAAATTTATGCCCTTAGATACTGCTCATATTCAAATAAAGGAATGAGGTCTCAAATGAAAGGAAAAATGATTTTATTATTGTCAGATGGTTGGAGATAATCAACCCCATGCCAATGATGGTTAATAATTACAGATCCTAATATCAAATCTAGAAACCCACTCTATGTTAAACACAAAAATGAAAGGAGGGTTATAGAAAGTATATACAAAGGTTTCTGTCTGGTTTTCATGGGCTAGGAGAGTACACCTGAATTTCTTTATTTTTCTTTGTTTTTTTTTTTTAGAACTTGAAATTTAAAAGCCATTGGTTTTAGGCATATGCTGTTACTAAGAGTTGTGTCATTTCTGATCTCTGTCTATTTTGCTTATGCTTTATCCTTCTGCTGATTTCTTTTTTTTGGGGGGGGGGGTCCGGTCGTGGGGCTTGAACTCTGGGCCTGGGCGCTGTCCCTCAGCTCTCTACCACTTGAGCCACAGCGCCACTTCCAGCTTTTTTCTTTTTGCTTATGTGGTGCTGAGGAATCGAACCCAGGGCCTCAGGCATGCAAGGCAAGTGCTCTACCACTGAGCCACCTTCCCAGCCCTCCTTCTGCTGATTTCTACTGGCCTCATTTCTCTTGTTTGCTCACATGGACATGAGATAGCAACTTTGACACTTCCCATTCTTCCACCAACCTGTAAATATCCTTGTTAATTTAATGGCTTTAGCAAAATGATCCAGTCTTCCAAGTCCCAACTCTTAGTTCCTGGGAAGGAGAATCCAATGGTCTTTTCCTAAGAGAAGTAACATGTCGCCTTTGTTCTATCCACTTTAAAGATGTAGAGCTTACCACCACCTTGCCTTGTAGAAGCCCACAGAACATGGTAGAGTAGCACACAGGTGCACTGTGATAGGGAGAAGACATTATGAGTCCCTTCAGGGACGTGCCACTATCTTGACGTTCTTAACTTTTAGAACATTGCTTAGATAGAGAAGCTAAGAATTATCAGGTTATAAACCATAAAAGTTCATTCAGTTCTAATAAGGACCTCCTTAAATTGCCAGACAACTTGGCGGGTTGATATTTAAAAACTTTATTAGAGAATTGTTAAATTCTGAGTTTGAAGTGGCGGAGCATACCAGACAGCTAAAGAGCTGTTTTGTGTGTTTCCTGTGGTTTGTTTTATTTCTAAATGGTAGTACTGATATGGGACTGTGGGAACAGCACTGAGACCGGATATCAGTCACTGATAAACAAAGATAGCTATGTGCAACCACAACCTGACTGATGCTATTTTTCCTCTCTTTCATTTATTGTGTGTGTGTGTGTGTGTGTGTGTGTGTGTGTGTGTGTGTGTCCATGTACATATCTCCACACATTGTTATTTTACCTATCATCCCATTAAGACATTTAGTTTAGACCTCCAAAAAGTATCACATAAGATATTCTTGCTAAGGTGAATATTCCAAATATTTTTAAATTAGTTGAACAGCTAACTTACTTTTCTACTTGCCTTGATTTATGATAAGAAAAATACCTTTTTCTGATAGTTCCTCAGACAAGGCCAGGATGGTACTACAGAATTATGTTTATAAGAATTGAGCTGGCCAGGAAAGTTAGAATGAACTTGTGACTTTAAATGAGCATCATTATTCCACAATACTGTGAAATTCGGGAAATTATGTAATCACTTAATCACAATAAAAAAAAAAAGAACCTTGGGGAAGGTAGGGAGGGAAGGGATGGTATGGGGAAAACAATGGAGGGGGTAACAATGCTCAATAGGAAGTGTACTCATTACCTTACTCATGTAACTGTAACCCTCTGTAAAGTATCTTTACAATAAAAAAATAAAAAAAAAAGAATTGAGCTGGAACTGTAACCCCTCTGTACAGCATTTTTATAATAAAAAATGTACCAAAAAAAAAAAAAAGAATTGAGCTGGGCACTGGTGCGTCACGCCTGTAATCCTAGCTACTCAGAAGGCTGAGATCTGAGGATCGCAATTCAAACCAGCCCAGGCAGCAAAGTCCACAAGACTCTTATCTCCAGTTAACCACCAGAAAACTGGAAGTGGCACTGTGGCTCAAGTGGTAGAGTGCTGGCTTTGAGCTAAACAGCTTAGGAACAGTGCCCAGGCCCAGAGTTCAAGCCTGTGACTGACAAAAAAAAAAAAAAATGAACTAAATCATCTGTGTATGTTTTATTATTTTTACATACTTGATTTATGCATTAGTCTTGTCTATTACTCTTTAAAATGCGTTGAATTCATGTAGCAGCCCTTAAGTTGACTTTGATGCACTTCCCTTTAGTTGGAAATCCATAAGATTGATATTTCAGAGGAAATAAATCATATTGAATCATATTTGCCCACCATGGATGTGACTATTCAATGATAGGACAGAACTTTACAGTTTCTAGAGTCACTGATTTCTTTGTGAAATTTCTACAGAGTAAAAATGAATTTCTTAAAGCATCTGCTTCCTAGCACACTGGCAAAGTTCTGTTTAGAATCTGTCACTGACAATCTTTACTTTGACATTTGTGTATGAGACTTTTCAAATCACAACATTTTTTAGTCTTGCTGCCTTGCCTCAGAGTTAACTGCAGAAGAATGGTTTGCGCCAATTCGATAGCAGTGACGATAACTGACTCACTCCCTCTACCTCAAATCTGAAAGGTAGTTACAGAAAACGAGAAACTTTAAAATAAGCACTGCAATGTGTCTTTCTGTTCATGCTAACTTCTTGCTTTATTGCTCAAAGCACCGTGTTTGAGTGATTGACATTTTTTAAAACATTCTCAACATTCCCTTTTCAATTAGTCACTTACCAGGAAAATTCTTGCTCCTCCTTATTTTATTCTTCAGAATTTTTATCTGCCAACAACCACATAAAATTCTGTGACCTAGACCACTTGTTTATAAAAGATGGACAAGGAAAAGGTCTTAAGGTAGCACTACTGCTACCAGATGTACATTTTCAATATCAAGATTGAATAAACCATACAGCAAAGAGTATGAATAAAGGCTTCAAAGGATATGTTTTTCTTCTCACTATTACAGTACCGAGTACTCTAAGACTACCTAGAGATTTCTAAATTTATTAAGAAAATGTTTAGCCATGTACTAGTGGCTCATGCCTTTAATCCTAGCTACTCAAGAGGCTGAGATCTAAGGATTGCAGTTCAAAGCCAGCCTTGGCAGCAAAGTCTGTGAGACTCTTATCTCCAATTAGTTTCCAAGCCAGAAATGGAGCTGTAGGCTCAAATGGTAGTGTCCGCTCAGGGACAACAAGTGCAGTGCTCCCAGCCTGTATAAGTATAGAGTCTAAGGTTTTTCAGCCTTTTTTACTTTTTCTGTCATAGTTGGGCATGGGTTTGTTCAGAGGCCACATATAATAGTTAAGGCATTGACAGCTACTAAAATATGAACATGGATTGTGTTTTGAGTTTTTCTTTGTTTTAATTTCTAATGTACTAAGTACAATGCATGTAATCCACATGAAAACAGCTTTTGGAAAGTATCACTGATTTTTTAAGAGTATAAAGGTGTATTGAGACCAAAGTATTTGAGTACCATTGGAATATTCAATCTATTACATACACAAACACATGCTGTCTTGTATTCTGTAACTATTGTTCTGCCAGTAGAACTGAGTGCACTTAAAAGATACAAAGATTTTCATATTCTAGTCTAAAAGATTAGACTATATATTAACCATTTAATTGATGAGGATGAAGCCCAGCTCAGCATGTAAGCACTCTTTGGAAGTGTCCTATGTAGAACAAAGGCTTAGACTCAGTCATACTTGTGTAATATGCAATTAGGACTGTTTGACCATTTTCTAGTCAAAGATTTGTTTCTTACATACAGTGGAAATGGGTGATTTTTCTGATAACTTATTAAATTTCCTTTTTACTTACTACATAATTTGTATGTCAAATTGATTTTTTTCATATTGAAGGTAGCTGTATCATTTCTTCCTTTTAGTTCAATATAAATAGAACAGATTATTCAACTTCTTGATATGATTTGATCCTAACTTACTAAATAATAAAAAATTTGTCATTCTATATGAAATTTGTCATTCTGTATGAAACACTAACATACCGCTTAACCTTTGAGTACATCATTTGTCTCATCTTTTGAATTGATGGCTCTTATTGATAATCCTTTATGTCTTGTTTATAACTACTATATCTGCTTTTAGACATTTAGTTTCTTCAGAAATGTTTCCATACAATGAGCAAATTTAAACTTATAACACCAGATTATTTTTTCCCATTTGTTCCTCTTATTTGTTTTACAGTCTTTTCAGGGCTTCTTGTTAATATGTACTTTTGTTGTAGCTGTTGTTGTTTTGCTGGTCCTAGGGCTTGAACTCTGGGCCTAAGCACTGTTCCTGATCTAGTGATCTACCACTGGAGCCCTGTGGCTCACTTCTGGTTTTATTGTGATTAACTGGAAGTAAAAGTCTCACAGACTTTCTTGCTGGGCTGGCTCCAAACCATGACTCTTAGATCTCAGCCTCCTGAGTAGCAAGGATTACAGACATAAGCCAACAGTGTTTACTTTTTAACTCATGACTGGGTTAGGGTAGAGAACATTCATGAAGTATGGGAACAATTACCTTACAGATATTGGCATACTCAAAAAATGAAATTATGGCATTATTAGAACAGTTCCTTTTAGATGATTTGAAACATGTCCTTGTGGTTATTGGTTTCATGTACACTGTTCTAATGATGGTGGCATTAATTAGAATGTAACTTAAATTTCTATAAGACAATGTTTGGAAAGTAGAGGTGGTATTGTGTCACTCTTCTTTGATAGGAGTTGAAATTAGAGCCAGGTAATATTTTCTATTTGTTTGTTTGATTACATGTGTGCTTGCTTACTTATTTTGGAAACAGGGTCTCACAGTGTAGCTCAGGCTGG